CTCATCCCACTCATACTTCACCCTCATCCTTGTTCCTCAATGTCCATCCTTATCCTCTTTCACTCTTATCTTCGGCCTGACAGCTGAGTGGACAGCACTTCGGATTCGTAGTCCTGAGGTTCCGGGTTCGGTTCCCGGGGGAGGCGGAGACAAATGGGCAGAGTTTCTTTCACCCTCATGCACCTGTTCACATAGCACTAAATAGGTACCTGGGAATTATACAGCAGCTATAGGCTGCTTCCTGGGGGGGGGGGGGTGTACCAAAAAGGAGGCCTGGTCGAGGACCGGGCCGCGGGGACGCTAAGCCTCGAAATCATCTCAAGATAACCTCCACCCTTAAGCAAGCAGACGTGCAGGCCAGCCGACGTGCAGGCCAGCCGACGTGCAGGCCAGCCGACGTGCAGGCCAGCAGCCGTGCAGGCCAGCAGCCGTGCAGGCCAGCCGACGTGCAGGCCAGCCGACGTGCAGGCCAGCCGACGTGCAGGCCAGCAGCCGTCCAGGCCAGCAGACGTGCAGGCCAGCAGTCGTGCAGGCCAGCAGACGTGCAGGCACGTAGACGTGCAGGCCAGCAGCCGTGCAGGCCAGCAGATGTGCAGGCACGCAGACGTGCAGGCACGCAGACGTGCAGGCACGCAGACGTGCAGGCACGCAGACGTGCAGGCCAGCAGCCGTGCAGGCCAGCAGCCGTGCAGGCCAGCAGCCGTGCAGGCACGCAGCCGTGCAGGCACGCAGCCGTGCAGGCCAGCAGCCGTGCAGGCACGCAGCCGTGCAGGCACGCAGCCGTGCAGGCACGCAGCCGTGCAGGCACGCAGCCGTGCAGGCACGCAGCCGTGCAGGCACGCAGCCGTGCAGGCCAGCAGCCGTGCAGGCACGCAGCCGTGCAGGCCAGCAGCCGTGCAGGCACGCAGCCGTGCAGGCCAGCAGCCGTGCAGGCACGCAGCCGTGCAGGCCAGCAGCCGTGCAGGCCAGCAGCCGTGCAGGCACGCAGCCGTCCAGGCCAGCAGCCGTGCAGGCACGCAGCCGTCCAGGCCAGCAGACGTGCAGGCACGCAGCCGTCCAGGCCAGCAGACGTGCAGGCACGCAGCCGTGCAGGCCAGCAGCCGTGCAGGCCAGCAGACGTGCAGGCACGCAGCCGTCCAGGCCAGCAGACGTGCAGGCACGCAGACGTGCAGGCACGCAGACGTGCAGGCACGCAGACGTGCAGGCACGCAGACGTGCAGGCACGCAGACGTGCAGGCACGCAGACGTGCAGGAACGCAGACGTGCAGGCACGCAGACGTGCAGGCACGCAGACGTGCAGGCCAGCAGACGTGCAGGCACGCAGCCGTGCAGGCCAGCAGCCGTGCAGGGCAGCAGACGTGCAGGCCAGCAGACGTGCAGGCACGCAGCCGTCCAGGCCAGCAGACGTCCAGGCCAGCAGCCGTGCAGGCACGCAGCCGTCCAGGCCAGCAGACGTGCAGGCACGCAGCCGTCCAGGCCAGCAGACGTGCAGGCACGCAGCCGTCCAGGCCAGCAGACGTGCAGGCACGCAGACGTGCAGGCCAGCAGCCGTCCAGGCCAGCTGGCGTGCAGGCACGCACCCGTCCAGGCCAGCAGACGTGCAGGCACGCAGCCGTCCAGGCCAGCAGACGTGCAGGCACGCAGCCGTCCAGGCCAGCAGACGTGCAGGCACGCAGCCGTCCAGGCCAGCAGACGTGCAGGCACGCAGCCGTTCAGGCCAGCAGACGTGCAGGCTCGCAGCCGTCCAGGCCAGCAGACGTGCAGGCACGCAGCCGTCCAGGCCAGCAGACGTGCAGGCACGCAGCCGTCCAGGTCAGCAGCCGTCCAGGCCAGCAGACGTGCAGGCACGCAGCCGTCCAGGCCAGCAGACGTGCAGGCACGCAGCCGTCCAGGCCAGCAGACGTGCAGGCACGCAGCCGTCCAGGCCAGCAGCCGTGCAGGCCAGCAGCCGTGCAGGCCAGCAGCCGTGCAGGCCAGCAGCCGTGTAGGCCAGCAGCCGTGCAGGCCAGCAGCCGTGCAGGCCAGCAGCCGTGCAGGCCAGCAGCCGTGCAGGCCAGCAGCCGTGCAGGCCAGCAGCCGTGCAGGCCAGCAGCCGTGCAGGCCAGCAGCCGTGCAAGCCAGCCGACGTGCAGGCCAGCCGACGTGCAGGCACGCAGCCGTGCAGGCCAGCCGACGTGCAGGCCAGCCGACGTGCAGGCACGCAGCCGTGCAGGCCAGCAGACGTGCAAGGCCAGCAGACAGTGTCCTGGGAGGGAAGGGTGGAAAGCAGAATTGAAAATGCAGGTTGAGGTAGGCTTATGGAGGCTTACTGGAGCTTACTGGCGGGAGCCCTCGTCCCGCCTGTGTGGTGGTTGACGCTTCATTATTTACCCTCAACACTTTTGTGACTATATAAGTGTTGCTGCCTCTGGTGTAGTGTAAGTGTTGCTGCCTCTGGTGTAGTGTAAGTGTTGCTGCCTCTGGTGTAGTGTAAGTGTTGCTGCCTCTGGTGTAGTGTAAGTGTTGCTGCCTCTGGTGCAGTGTAAGTGTTGCTGCCTCTGGTGCAGTGTAAGTGTTGCTGCCTCTGGTGCAGTGTAAGTGTTGCTGCCTCTGGTGCAGTGTAAGTGTTGCTGCCTCTGGTGTAGTGTTGCTGCCTCTGGTGTAGTGTTGCTGCCTCTGGTGTAGTGTTGCTGCCTCTGGTGCAGTGTAAGTGTTGCTGCCTCTGGTGTAGTGTTGCTGCCTCTGGTGTAGTGTTGCTGCCTCTGGTGCAGTGTAAGTGTTGCTGCCTCTGGTGTAGTGTTGCTGCCTCTGGTGTAGTGTAAGTGTTGCTGCCTCTGGTGTAGTGTAAGTGTTGCTGCCTCTGGTGCAGTGTAAGTGTTGCTGCCTCTGGTGCAGTGTAAGTGTTGCTGCCTCTGGTGCAGTGTAAGTGTTGCTGCCTCTGGTGTAGTGTAAGTGTTGCTGCCTCTGGTGTAGTGTAAGTGTTGCTGCCTCTGGTGTAGTGTAAGTGTTGCTGCCTCTGGTGTAAGTGTTGCTGCCTCTGGTGTTGTGTAAGTGTTGCTGCCTCTGGTGTAGTGTAAGTGTTGCTGCCTCTGGTGTAGTGTAAGTGTTGCTGCCTCTGGTGTTGTGTAAGTGTTGCTGCCTCTGGTGTTGTGTAAGTGTTGCTGCCTCTGGTGTTGTGTAAGTGTTGCTGCCTCTGGTGTAGTGTAAGTGTTGCTGCCTCTGGTGTAGTGTAAGTGTTGCTGCCTCTGGTGTAGTGTAAGTGTTGCTGCCTCTGGTGTAGTGTAAGTGTTGCTGCCTCTGGTGTAGTGTAAGTGTTGCTGCCTCTGGTGTAGTGTAAGTGTTGCTGCCTCTGGTGCAGTGTAAGTGTTGCTGCCTCTGGTGTAGTGTTGCTGCCTCTGGTGTAGTGTAAGTGTTGCTGCCTCTGGTGTAGTGTAAGTGTTGCTGCCTCTGGTGTAGTGTAAGTGCTGCTGCCTCTGGTGTAGTGTAAGTGTTGCTGCCTCTGGTGCAGTGTAAGTGTTGCTGCCTCTGGTGCAGTGTTGCTGCCTCTGGTGCAGTGTTGCTGCCTCTGGTGCAGTGTTGCAGCCTCTGGTGCAGTGTTGCTGCCTCTGGTGCAGTGTAAGTGTTGCTGCCTCTGGTGCAGTGTTGCTGCCTCTGGTGCAGTGTAAGTGTTGCTGCCTCTGGTGCAGTGTAAGTGTTGCAGCCTCTGGTGCAGTGTAAGTGTTGCTGCCTCTGGTGCAGTGTTGCTGCCTCTGGTGCAGTGTAAGTGTTGCTGCCTCTGGTGTAGTGTTGCTGCCTCTGGTGCAGTGTTGCTGCCTCTGGTGCAGTGTAAGTGTTGCTGCCTCTGGTGTAGTGTAAGTGTTGCTGCCTCTGGTGTAGTGTAAGTGTTGCTGCCTCTGGTGCAGTGTAAGTGTTGCTGCCTCTGGTGCAGTGTAAGTGTTGCAGCCTCTGGTGCAGTGTAAGTGTTGCTGCCTCTGGTGCAGTGTTGCTGCCTCTGGTGCAGTGTAAGTGTTGCTGCCTCTGGTGTAGTGTTGCTGCCTCTGGTGCAGTGTTGCTGCCTCTGGTGCAGTGTCAGTGTTGCTGCCTCTGGTGTAGTGTAAGTGTTGCTGCCTCTGGTGTAGTGTAAGTGTTGCTGCCTCTGGTGTAGTGTAAGTGTTGCAGCCTCTGGTGCAGTGTAAGTGTTGCTGCCTCTGGTGCAGTGTTGCTGCCTCTGGTGCAGTGTAAGTGTTGCTGCCTCTGGTGTAGTGTTGCTGCCTCTGGTGCAGTGTTGCTGCCTCTGGTGCAGTGTAAGTGTTGCTGCCTCTGGTGTAGTGTAAGTGTTGCTGCCTCTGGTGTAGTGTAAGTGTTGCTGCCTCTGGTGTAGTGTAAGTGTTGCTGCCTCTGGTGCAGTGTTGCTGCCTCTGGTGCAGTGTAAGTGTTGCTGCCTCTGGTGTAGTGTAAGTGTTGCTGCCTCTGGTGTAGTGTAAGTGTTGCTGCCTCTGGTGCAGTGTAAGTGTTGCAGCCTCTGGTGCAGTGTAAGTGTTGCTGCCTCTGGTGCAGTGTTGCTGCCTCTGGTGCAGTGTAAGTGTTGCTGCCTCTGGTGTAGTGTTGCTGCCTCTGGTGCAGTGTTGCTGCCTCTGGTGCAGTGTAAGTGTTGCTGCCTCTGGTGTAGTGTAAGTGTTGCTGCCTCTGGTGTAGTGTAAGTGTTGCTGCCTCTGGTGTAGTGTTGCTGCCTCTGGTGCAGTGTTGCTGCCTCTGGTGCAGTGTAAGTGTTGCTGCCTCTGGTGTAGTGTAAGTGTTGCTGCCTCTGGTGTAGTGTAAGTGTTGCTGCCTCTGGTGTAGTGTAAGTGTTGCTGCCTCTGGTGCAGTGTTGCTGCCTCTGGTGCAGTGTTGCTGCCTCTGGTGCAGTGTAAGTGTTGCTGCCTCTGGTGTAGTGTAAGTGTTGCTGCCTCTGGTGTAGTGTAAGTGTTGCTCCCTCTGGTGTAGTGTAAGTGTTGCTGCCTCTGGTGTAGTGTAAGTGTTGCTGCCTCTGGTGCAGTGTAAGTGTTGCTGCCTCTGGTGTAGTGTAAGTGTTGCTTTCTCTGGTGCAGTGTAAGTGTTGCTGCCTCTGGTGCAGTGTTGCTGCCTCTGGTGCAGTGTTGCTGCCTCTGGTGTAGTGTAAGTGTTGCTGCCTCTGGTGCAGTGTAAGTGTTGCTGCCTCTGGTGCAGTGTTGCTGCCTCTGGTGCAGTGTAAGTGTTGCTGCCTCTGGTGTAGTGTAAGTGTTGCTGCCTCTGGTGTAGTGTAAGTGTTGCTGCCTCTGGTGTAGTGTAAGTGTTGCTGCCTCTGGTGTAGTGTAAGTGTTGCTGCCTCTGGTGTAGTGTAAGTGTTGCTGCCTCTGGTGTAGTGTAAGTGTTGCTGCCTCTGGTGTAGTGCAAGTGTTGCTGCCTCTGGTGTAGTGTAAGTGTTGCTGCCTCTGGTGTAGTGTTGCTGCCTCTGGTGTAGTACAAGTGTTGCTGCCTCTGGTGCAGTGTTGCTGCCTCTGGTGCAGTGTAAGTGTTGCTGCCTCTGGTGTAGTGTAAGTGTTGCTGCCTCTGGTGTAGTGTTGCTGCCTCTGGTGTAGTACAAGTGTTGCTGCCTCTGGTGCAGTGTTGCTGCCTCTGGTGCAATGTAAGTGTTGCTGCCTCTGGTGTAGTGTAAGTGTTGCTGCCTCTGGTGTAGTGTTGCTGCCTCTGGTGTAGTATAAGTGTTGCTGCCTCTGGTGTAGTGTTGCTGCCTCTGGTGTAGTATAAGTGTTGCTGCCTCTGGTGTAGTGTAAGTGTTGCTGCCTCTGGTGTAGTGTTGCTGCCTCTGGTGCAGTGTTGCTGCCTCTGGTGCAGTGTTGCTGCCTCTGGTGTAGTGTAAGTGTTGCTGCCTCTGGTGCAGTGTAAGTGTTGCTGCCTCTGGTGCAGTGTAAGTGTTGCTGCCTCTGGTGCAGTGTAAGTGTTGCTGCCTCTGGTGCAGTGTAAGTGTTGCTGCCTCTGGTGCAGTGTAAGTGTTGCTGCCTCTGGTGCAGTGTAAGTGTTGCTGCCTCTGGTGCAGTGTTGCTGCCTCTGGTGCAGTGTAAGTGTTGCTGCCTCTGGTGCAGTGTTGCTGCCTCTGGTGCAGTGTAAGTGTTGCTGCCTCTGGTGCAGTGTTGCTGCCTCTGGTGCAGTGTAAGTGTTGCTGCCTCTGGTGCAGTGTAAGTGTTGCTGCCTCTGGTGCAGTGTAAGTGTTGCTGCCTCTGGTGTAGTGTTGCTGCCTCTGGTGTAGTACAAGTGTTGCTGCCTCTGGTGCAGTGTTGCTGCCTCTGGTGCAGTGTAAGTGTTGCTGCCTCTGGTGCAGTGTAAGTGTTGCTGCCTCTGGTGCAGTGTAAGTGTTGCTGCCTCTGGTGCAGTGTTGCTGCCTCTGGTGTAGTGTAAGTGTTGCTGCCTCTGGTGTAGTGTAAGTGTTGCTGCCTCTGGTGTAGTGTAAGTGTTGCTGCCTCTGGTGTAATGTAAGTGTTGCTGCCTCTGGTGTAGTGTAAGTGTTGCTGCCTCTGGTGTAGTGTAAGTGTTGCTGCCTCTGGTGTAGTGTAAGTGTTGCTGCCTCTGGTGCAGTGTTGCTGCCTCTGGTGCAGTGTAAGTGTTGCTGCCTCTGGTGCAGTGTAAGTGTTGCTGCCTCTGGTGCAGTGTAAGTGTTGCTGCCTCTGGTGCAGTGTAAGTGTTGCTGCCTCCGGTGCAGTGTTGCTGCCTCTGGTGCAGTGTTGCTGCCTCTGGTGCAGTGTAAGTGTTGCTGCCTCTGGTGTAGTGTAAGTGTTGCTGCCTCTGGTGCAGTGTAAGTGTTGCTGCCTCTGGTGCAGTGTAAGTGTTGCTGCCTCTGG